TCTCTGCACATAAGGCACCAATGGAACTGCCTTTGTCCTCCCCCTCCCCACTCTTTGGGAGGGAGTTTCCCATGTGTGCCAGTTCCTGCCCTTGTGCCTGCCCCTCTATCAGAGGCAGCAGTATGGGGAGGTGAAGTAGGTCAGCACTTGAAGGGAGCCAGCTTTTAAACCAGCTCCCATCAAGGACTGGCTCCTGCCTGCCCCCTGCATTGTTGCCTCTGTGGGTGGCAGTTAACTCCACAGCAGCTGCCATACATGGGGAGGGCATGTGTGTGTAGCAGAGTTGTTGACTCGAGTCAGACTTAAGTCGCCTAAGAGACTCGTCTTGGGTTCATTGTTTGAGACTTGAGCTTGAAACTAGTCTTGGGTTCATTGTTTGAGACTTGAGACTTGCTAATTTTGTTAAATCAACTTGGTGAAAAAATTGTCTGAAAATGCCGATGGCTTGTACAAAAGTGACTTGACATTTTTTAAATTAAGACTTGAGACTCGACTCAAAGTGACTTTAGGGACTTGAGACGTGAACTGTAGTGACTTGACAATGATGACGACACTGGTGTGTAGTTAACATGTTTAACTGATAAGCCTGGGCTTGTCAGTTAATTGCATTAATGACTACATGCAAACAGCCCCAGTTATGTCTGTAAAACAGTACTTGGATTTGCAGTAGTAATAGGGGGACAGGACTCTGATTCTGCACATCTGGGCTTCAGTAAAAACCAGAGCTTCAGACACTGATTTACACAAATTTTTAGTTTTATTTTTTTCTGGCTGAGACTCATCTTGTAACATGCATGCGTTTCAAACCAGTAAGTTTCTCAAATTGCTCCTAGCAAACAGACAAGCACAGAGGACTTAATTCCTATCTTTTTTAAAAAAACGGAAACAGCAGTGAAAATCTAGAATGCTCCATTTGCCTTAGTTTTAGATTAAACTTAATTTATTCACATTTTTTCAGTTGCACTGATTAGCCCCCACCACTGACCTAGAACAGGCTCATTTCATACAGCTCAATCCAATTGCATTTAGTATCATACAGCTAAACAAAGAACAGCACAAGATCTAAGTGGCAAATGAACCACCGTAATCATAGATGACCAAAACCTTGGCTTCTTCTATTTTCAGTGGTACTATCACACAGGAAAGAATTCGTTACACATCAAGGAAAACCAGTCATAGATGCTGGAAAATAAACTCTACAAGGGGGACAAACTGTCAGGCCAGTTGGAAATGGTGCTTTAAAAGCAGAAGGGGAGGAATTGCAATTTGGTTTAAAAAAATTGTTAAAATATTTTGAATCATTAATTACAGGATATTGCAAACAAAGCTTCAGCACACAGACCTTGACCTTTGAAATGTTTTGACTACTACCTAAAATTTAAAAATGCTCCACCCTTTCTATAGTGCCAGGTGGGGAACCTGTGAACACTAATTGTAGGACAAGGAGCCCTTCATAAGTTTAGGCCAAAATACAATTCACTCAGTGAAAGACTTTTCTCCATAATTAAATTGCACTATAATTTTATGCCTCTAGTGTCTCCTGGGATTAGAACACTGATTTGAAATTGAAGGCAGTTCCGATAGCCTTGGGCAGGAAAAACAGTCATTCTTTGCCTCGTTGGGCAAATAGCAAGCACCTCTTATTAACACACACTTTGAATTTTTACTGACAGTGAAAATTCAGTCTGAAGTTTCATTTCCTGGAAGTGGAAGAGCAGGCCCTTCATCATGCTATAAAGTCTGTATCCACCTCAAAAGTGCATTGATTTACATCAAGAATATTGCATGCCATCTCTTATTTAAACCATGGCAAGATTATGATGAAAATATTCATAACATCCTTGGTCCTAATCCCATATTCAACTGAAAGTTCTGAGACCATATGACCTCTATGGGATTAAACTAAACAGTTGACCTCAAAGTACCTTTCTCCCTTCCCCTCCCTCCCCCCAATCCCTTCACAACTCTCAAACTTTTGACGGGGACAGAGCTTCAAAATTAAAGTCATTATAATCCAACTAGGGCATCATTAGAGGCACCGTACAAATGACAAGTAGAAACATTTGATAGGGAGGAAACAGAACTATACACTTATCTTTGAGAAGTGAATTCCATAACCTCCCTCTTTGCCCCTTTTTACATGTGTATGAGGACGACAGAATCCGTCTGTATATGAAAGTAGCCAGAGGCTGGCCAGGTAGGGTGACTGACAGAGGAAGTAGGTGTTATGGCTCTCTCAAGTGTTCCCCCCCCCCCCTTTTTGGCATCTTTGTTTCCCCCCATTAGTTGTTTCAGTGGGGAGAAGGCATGGGCTACGCCCAGCTATAGGAAAGCTTCACACACCCTTTATTAAGACCAGTGCAATGAGAGAGACATACTCCAGCTCAAATTAATTATTCCGTTCCAGCCTGCACCCCACTACCTTCTGGCTCCAACTTTTTTTTTTTGCCAAGCTTCTCTAGAAAGAGATGCAACATGCAGCTAAGAGACATTCCTGTTTGGCTAGGGTCTCTTATATGATCCATTATTAGCATTTGTACTACAGCTCTAAAAAATGCATTGCAATGAAAACCACAGCTTACCTGGCAGAAGATGCACTCAACTGTAAAGTGATTTTGGGGGGCACAGACAGACCAATATTGGATAATGCTTTACCAGCAGTTGTAAAAATCAGGAGTATTAATAAAGCGGGGGCAGGAAGGGTTTTTTTTAAAAATAAACTTGAACAAGAGAAGAATGATATCCTAGATCAAGATTAAAAAAACAAAAGCAAAAAGTCCCTTTTCAAAACAGATCAAATATTTGCAGCTTCACCTCATTGTAACAGAACAAAAATACTGTCTAGAAACAAAATTAGCATTTTAACAATGCTACAACTCAAAATGTAAACAATATACAAACTGCTTATGTTAAACAAAAGTTATACCTGGGTAATACATTTTTAAATGATAAAATTGCATTTAGTTACCTTTTATATATATATATGTACACACACACACACACACACACACAAAGTATGGCAACAAAAATGGCAAAATGGGGTAAGTGCTAAAGTGAATAGATTTTTTTGGGCTTTTATACCACTTGAGGCATTGAAACAACTAAACAGGGTCTAAAAATATTCTTTGCACTCTATCTAGAGTGGGAAAGGAAGTCACAAGATCTTAAATCCTGTGTCGTGTTTTATAATATTGATTATAGGAACATCTCATTCAGATTTCAGCTGTTTACTGAGTTCTAGTGAATCAGATTTGTACTCCGAGTTCCTTTGCCTGTACTTGGGCTGTTCACTTAAACTATCCCACTGCAGTTTACTTTCCCATTTATCTCATTTTAAAAAAAAATGAATATTTTAAAATCTAGTATACTAAAGTTTCAGCTAATTTTCCCAAATGGAGAGTGGTAAACTTAGTAGGCCAAAACTGTAGGTTCAGGATATTTTAAACTGTCAAGAGTAAAATGCAATTGGTATTTAATTCCTATTTCATAGCGAACATAAGTGCATTTTTCTTTGTTTAGAGGAAAGCAACCAGTATTCTCCTCCACCCCTCTACATTTTCTCCTATCTGAATTTGATGTGTGGTACTGTTAGCCAAACACCCTAAGGAGGTGTGAGAATCTTATTAGGCTGTCAGACAATAGCATGTTAGTTCCCCAAATTTACACAAAACAGACAATGGATTACAATGTCATAAAAAAATTGTCCCCCATCAAAGGGAATGACCCATGAATGAACAAAAAGTTTCATATCCCATTAAAACCAACAATTTGTTTTAGACTTTTTTTAAACAATATTTACAATGTATTCTTCTAAGCCTAGTTTTCAGTCTTGACAAAATCCCCTGTCGTTCCCCATGTTGATTGCTGTGAAATCGCGCCAGGAACATGGATACAAAGAGAGTCACCCTGCATTCAGAATCCAGTTACCGCTCGCATTAGTCTAGTGAGTTACCAGGACACAATGAATACCACCTCTTCTCACGGGACCAAATTGACAGAGCAAACTATAGCACACATTACCGCACAGGACACAAACATTCTTACAGCTTATTCCTGAAACAAAGGCATTTGTGAACAGTTTCAAGGCAGATAAGCAACTTATGTCAACTGCAAGGTATCTGTTCAAAACAGCTAAATCCTGCTTTAGGAAAAACAGACAAAACTGTTCTGCAGCAGAACAAATTCAACTTACAGCAAGTTTGACAAGCTTGGCTGTGAAAAATATTACAAGTGGTCTGGAGACAAACAGGACATAATTCAATCACACAGATCAGTTCAAATTCTTGGGGGAGGGAATACCTGGAGTGAGAGTTCAGTCATTTAGGCCCATTGACACTCTACCAGCTAGAGTTATGGACCTGGAGCAGAGCGGAGCGGAGCCCTCAGATGCTGTGGAAATGGTCGTACATCCAACTGTGTTACAGTCACAACAATCAACCCTCCAGCCTGACAGCGATTTACACGTCTCAAGATGCACATCGTGGTGACTTGAACTGTTGCCTGAGCGAAGTTTAAAAAAACCCAACCCAGTACTTGTAACAGGATTGGAGGAGTTAGGAAGACTGGGAACGTTAGCTAGATTAACACTGGCAGGACTGTCATGTGTCAGCTCTATTTTAGAGGAAGGGTGATTTAACAAATGTTTTTTCCAGACAGCCAAATGTTACCCCAAATAAATTAACATGATTTCCTCCTTTGATGGACTCTTCACACGCAGCGTTTCCCAAGCATGATGGTTCTGTACTACCCAGTATTTTTCATACTATTTTTTAGCTTCTAAGAGTTATGCCTTAAGTGACCACCTTTAGTAGATGTTCATTTCCCTTATTTTTCTTGTAAAGTTAATTTCTTAAGTAAAAAATTTTTAAAACCCAGCCTGAA